ACGGCTAGCGCAGATAGCCCTCGTGTAGTTTTGCACGAAATTCGAAACCAAGAAATAACAGAAACAAATGATCAAAAAATTAGTTTAAAACCTAAAGAGCAAGCAAAATGGCATTGGTCGTGGTCGGATAAACATTATACATTCTATATTTATATAAGATTGAAATTTTACATGTGTTACAACATTTTAATTGAATGTTCCCATAATGGGAACGTTAACATGTGAATGGTTAAATCGCTAATCTAGCGTTGTTCTTAATTCTCTTCTTTCAGCAGGCCCCCCAGTGGCACAGCGGTATGTCTGCGGACTTACAACGCTAGAATCCGAGTTTCGATACCCGTGGTGAGCAGAGCACAGACAGCCCATTGTGTAGCTTTGTGCTTAATTACAAACAAACAAACAATCTTTCAGCGGATTAATACTTCTCACTATGTACAGAATATTTCGAGAGTCAAAGAATTGTCTTAAACAGATGGTGCGTGTAGTAATTATAAGAACCCATGACTGAAATGAAAGAGGTATATCTCAACCACACTACATCTGCTATATCAAGTACTGACGAGGCCCTTCGCCCGGTAACAGAGCTCATCAAGTCGACTGGAATATGACAGACATAGTAATGGTCTAGACGCTAAATATTTCATCAATTGCATGAATATTAACTGTCATGATGTGAACCAGATTATTAAGCAAGTTTATTGTAACTATAGGAAAGGAATTAATAATACAACATTATTTACTTTATTTTAACACTGTTCAATCATTTATTTATTTATCTTCTTTGTTATTATTTTGTTTGAATTAGCTTTATTGCCCTTCATAAGAACTGGCGAACCAGCAAGCTAGTTTTAACTTAATTTAGAGCTAGGCTTGATAAGATGACGTAAGTATTGAACTTTTTTAAAACACCTGTATCATGTTCAAAGTTTCCTAAATAAAATTTAAGATTCTCAACGTGTCCTTCACAAAATTTAGTTTCCCTAGGCCTAGTTTTTATTTTAACGTAATGGTTTTATATAATTTTGAAATGTTAGGTTAACACCATAATCGCTACCTGAATTTCTAGCAACTCACTGATCCCACGAGTTTCTCAATTTATCA